ATAGGTGGGAGGAGTAAACAGAATAGGATGCTGGGAGGAAGAGGAAGTGAGCTCAGACTCTGCTCTGCTCCTGGAGAGACTCGACAGCTCTGCTCTGTGGAGCAGAGGCCCGGCTCCGCTCTCCCAGGCAGCTCCGACCCAGGATGGATGTAGGCTAGAATCTTCCCGGTAAGCGCACCTTGGGGTGCTTACACACATTATTAGAAATGGGCTAAATTAATATGTGAGAATTAGCCTAGAAGAGGCTAGATAGAAATGGGCCAAGCAGTCTTTAAATGAATACAATTTGTGTGTTGTTATTTCAGGCATAAGCTAGCAGGTGGCTGGGGTGCTAGGGATGCAGCCCCGCCGCTCATATTTCAACACTAGAGATCGAATCCAGGGCTTCATGTGTGCAGAATGAGCACTTAACTAACTGAACTATACCTTAACCCATACTCTTCTTTCTTTCTTTCAAGCTATTTGGTGTCAGGTCCAAAGGAAACTGCACACCCCCAGACTCTGGCACCTCTACCAAAGCGGTCAGAAGTGACAAATGGCCATCTATGGTGACTATTAGCTTGCTGGCCTCCAAGCTCTCTTATTATCACTCTACCTATGGTTCCTCTCAGCTCTTCACAGCCCGCTTCCTGTCCTACACTCCTCCAGCTCATGGGTTCCCCTCTCCAGCTTCTCACTCCCATACAACGCTGCCATTTCAGTTACATGCTCTCTCCTGTCTTCTCCTCTTGGCTCCTCCCTCTTGCCTCTCTCCCAGCATCCTCTGCCTGCATTCCTTTGTCCTCCTTTCTCTCTCACTCTCCCCTGCTCTCCTCACATGGCCTGGTCCACTCTGCTGGTCATTTCAATGTCTTGCTTTCTCTTCCTGCTCTGGATTCTTCCAGATGCCCCTGGCTACACTCTCTCACATCAGCTATAGAAACCTTCTCCTCAGCCACACCTTGGAGCAGTCAGTCCTAAATTTATACATCTGATTCTGAAACCCTCAATTTATACACTTGGGTTTTTCATGGTTCAGCAATGGCTCTGGATTTCAAATCTCCAGGCCCTGTGTTACACCACGCTTACTAAGTTTTGGTTCAAACAGACCAACTAGTTCATAAGGCATGGCAAGCAGTGAAGAACCAGCCTGCCTCCATCTTAGTCTTAGAAGCCATCTTATAGTAAAGACAGACTAGTCTCATTTTTGTTTATGATTAAATCTGTTTCTCAGGGACAGGCATACCCCACCTGGAAATTAGCTACAAATGGTTCTGTACTGCGTGTTCCAGGAATGCCAATCTGCCTGTGTTTCAAAATGTTGTTTAGAATCATCTTGCAACCCCACCTTTGTTCCAAAAGGTTCTATGACCACCTATGGCTACCTTGTTATGACTACCTATTGCATGACCACCTTGTTCTGCCTACCCTGCCACCATGTCTTTGTGTCAGGAAGTCATTAGAATCTGACTCGTTATGATGTTCTGTTCCTGTAACCAAACCCTCTCCACCTGACCTATGAAAGTCTTGCCTTCCTCTCATTCCTTGCTGATCTCTTAACCCCTGCCCGAGGAAGTCCATGAACACAAATTAAAAAGCTTGCTTTAATGAATTTGGCTGTGATGACTTGAGTTGGTGGTCTTCCTCCTCTGACCTTTGGGATTGATAGTCGCTGAGGACAGGGATGACAGTTCATGTGTGGAGGGTGGATGGCAGTAGCCTACAGGAAGAGCCTAAGTATCCCTGGCTGCTACTTTAACATCTTTATGTCAAAGTGCTGGCAAACACTGTGGGATTGTGTGAGCTAGTCTCATCCCTTTTTAATTTCTTACAGGACTGCTGATGAGCAACAAAGCCTCCAAAGTCAACAGAAGCAGCCCAAGATCCATTCAGTTCCCCTCAATCATGTATGACTTCCTTTTAGACACTTCTAGCATACATCGTTCTTATTATCCTCTAGTTTTGCTTTGAGTCATGAATGTAAGTAACCGAAATTACTTTATCTTAGGATTCTCAGGTAAGCGAAGACATATAAATTCTTAGGAAGGCTAGCACTCACAGCTGGTCGACTGGGTCGGGTGATGTCTCTGGATTCTTCAGGTTTCACCTTGGAAGGTTCGTGGGGGAGCACAGGTGATCCTTCTGACTTACTGTTGGCTAGAGAAAAGAAGAGGGACAAGAAAGAGTGGACATGGCTCTTAGAAAAGGCTGCCTCATTCTGAGTGAGGGACTCACTAGTTACATAGACTCACTAGGCAAATCCATGCATTCGATGGAAAAACAACAAATACTCAAAAAAAAAAAAAAAGTCAGACAGCTGAGGCCTGAAACCCAGAAGCCACAGTAAAAATAAAAATCTGCAGTCACTACCAAGCGTTTTCTGTGTATTAGGCATAGTACTAAATGCTTTCTCTGTTGATTATTGAAATTAATCCTTGTTCCAAGCCAATGGTCTGGCACTATTTTCTTATTCTCTAGATAAGGACAGATTCAAAGATGACACCCCTAGCTCAAGGTGAAGAATAAAATGAGTTTTAAAGGAAGCTGAGAAGTGACCTGAGACCTTTAAGGAATAAAGAATGATACAGGAACAGGGAGGTGCTGATAAAGGTGAGGAACCCAGTAATAGAGTTGGGGAGCCAGGCTGGGGGAGGCCCCCTGTGGCCAGAGTGAGAGATGCCGTGTTATAGATGTCACATGTTAGGCCCCCTGGGGCACAGTGAGAGATGCCGTGTTATGTATGTCATATGTAGAGCAGCAGGCAAATCATGGCTGCATTTGCTAAGGGGCCACGAGCTTATCTTAAGGGAGAGTGACCCACCAGCTTGTTAATAGTTATCAAATTGTGCTTCAGACAGCCTGTTCTTACTTATTGTGAGCACATTTATTCTCTCAAGGAAGTGACTTAAAAAGAGGGAATTTTGACTAGTTAGAACAGGGGTTTTCTAGGTATTAATTAATTGCAGTATAGTCTTTCCATAGGTCTCTTCTTAGTGAAAACTAAGCAATGATGACGCTTTTGAACTAAATATCAGGCTATGTTTTTCTACTTATCTAATGGGAACAACCAGAATAATCAACCTTGTGACTTTAAGGCAAAGGTATTTTCTTCTGTCTTGTGTATTTACTTTATATTGACTTTTAGGAAATGTCATTTTGAGAAATACCCAAGATGATCAAGCATGCTTGGAACCCTGGAAGGGATGACTGGCGCCATGGGAACAAGACAGTGGGGTGCATGAGACTGAAAATGAGGAATCAAGTGGAAGTGGACATTTGGGGAACTAGAAAGTTACCATAGACAGGATTGTTGTTCACACTCTGATGTCAAATGTACAATTAGGGACTCTTGCCCAGTGCCGTCAGAAGACACAAACATAAGACAGCAGACAATTTGCAGTATCACACAACAGTGGCCACGCTGACGGCAGAGTTAGGAAGCAATCTCTCCTTTCCTCCCAAGCAGAAGAGGATGGAGGAGTTAAGAGGATGCTTACCCCGAACTCTGGTTCGTTCACTAGATCCTGCTTGTGACCCAGGCTGAGAGCCTCCTTGGGAGCTGGGCTGGGAGCTGGGTGTGCTGGAGCTGGAGGAACTGCCGCTGCTGGTCCTCTGCAAGGGGCTCTCCAGGACAGGCTCAGTTCTGCGGAGATCAGGATTGCTGCACGGGCAGGAGGACACAATGGCCACAGGTCAACATCCAAAACAGCAAGGCCCCCCGTGAACAACTCAGTAGCAAGCAAACAAACAACAAATAAAAATGAGATAAGGACATAAAGAGACATTTAAAAAAAAAAAAGAACATACTACAAGCCACATATAAAAATGCTTAGCACCACCTTACACTTATTAAAGTGATTTTCTCAAAAAGAGGAATGTTAGCCATTGCTGCTAAGAATGCCGAGAAGGAAAGCCTCGTCCTCTGTTGGTGGAATGCAAATTAGTATATGAAAATTATTATGGAGATTCCTCCAAGAATTATAAACACAGCTACTACATGACCCAACAATTCAGCTTCTGGTTATATTGCTGGAGGAAATCAGGTCGTTGTGCTGAGAAGATGGTGCATTCATTGTTGCATAGATGCATTCATAGCAGCAAAAGATAGAATCAGCATGCACAGACTGATAAAGATGCAATATATTTTTATATATGTAGCAATATATATTCTATACATATGTCAACTGCACAGGAAGACATGCACTGCCTGATCTCACATATGGAAAGGCACAACTCAGAGTAGCAGAGCTGCAGTGTGAATTAGTAGCAGCTCTAAGGTTTGTATGGGAACTGAGAGATGTTAAACAAAGAAATGTTTCAGTTAGACAGGATGAACAAGCTTTCCAGATCTATTGTAGTGTGGTGCCTTTACTTAATATGTAAGTGTAAAGTGGAATTTTCTTTGAGAAAGGATCTCATTATATAGATTACTGTAGCACCACATCCAGCTTTGAAGTAGATCCTAAACGTTCTCATCACAAAAATGGTAACTATTTGAATTCACTTCACAGTTTATAATGACTATTAAAAATCACATGGTACATATAAATATATGTTCTTTTAATTTTGTATACATTACTTAGATTATGGGTGCTTGCTATTGGTAGTGACTCCTGAAGTCCTAAAGCAAAAGATAAATGGTGGAAGGGCAGATGCTGGTAGGGTAGAGGCTGGGAGGGTAGGTGCTGGGAGGATAGAGGCTGGGAGGGTAGAGGCTGGGAGGGTAGAGGCTGGGAGGGTAAACCCTAAAAGGGTAGAGGATGAGCTCCAAACTCAATTCTTGGGTCAACATACTATAGTACTAGCTCTGAGATGAGGAACCCTAGCAAGAGATCTTCCTTTAAACAGTTCTCTCCATAAAACAAAGAAAAACCAACCTATAGTTCACAACCGCAGAGAACCTAGACAAAGAGGAGCCTAAGAGAAACAAACATGGACTTACATAGGAAGGAGAAAAGGACAAGATCTCCTGACTAAACTGAGTGTGGGGGCCATGGGAGATGGTAGAAGGGGAGGCAAAGGAAGGGAGGGGAGCAGAGAAAAATGTATATAGTTCAATAAAAAGAAAAATAAAAAATAACAAAAAAGAGTTTAAAATGCCAAAAAATCCCAGTTCTTCCAGTATTCGTTGTAAACAACTCGAAATATATGAAAGGAAGAATAAGGAACAGCGCATGCAATTCCAATCTAGGAAACGGTCAACTGTATTTTACTATTTGGCAAATTATCAAATATTCAATTTTGTCTCTTACTTTTTTCTTCCTAACCATTTTATCAAATATTCAATTTTGTCTCTTACTTTTTTCTTCCTAACCCTGTATGGTGAGCATTTTACTGTGATCTGAAAAGTGCTGGCTGTAAAATGGCCCATCATATAGACAAACCGGTTTGGCCGTTCTTCTCCTGTTGGTCATTTGTGGGGCTTCCAGCACACTGCTGTGATAGGCAGCCCAGAACTGGCCATCTGTCTGTACGCCAAAGTTCAACTCTAGTTCCCAATTTTGGAATTCTTGGTTAAAAGGTCATGAACACTGTAAACATACATGTATAAGCTAATGTATAAAGATATTAGCAATTTTCACTCTAGTCTATGTGATTATCCTTCTCTATGAAATTTTGTGCATATGTGTGCATGTGCTGGCATGCCTGCGTGTGTGCGTGCATGCATGTGTGTGTGTGTGTGTGTGTGTACATGACTATGGTGACCAGAAGGAGGTGTCAGTCTCCCTGCAGGTGAAGTTACAGGTGATTGTCAACACCTGCTGTGGATTCTGGGAATTGGACTCCAGTGTTCCGTAGGAATGGCAAGTGTTCTGAACTGCCAAGCCATCTCTTCAGCCCCACACGTCCATCTTTCTTGACCCCAAAGAGAAGTATTAGTCACTCACTCAGTGTTACCATAATAGGAATGCGGGATAGAATTTCGTGAAAAAATTATGTCTCACAATTTATTAGTTTTGATCATATAAATTTAGAATTTATGACAATATTGACTCTACAGCATCTGTGGGAAGTGGGTTCGGACTCAACAGTAAAGCCGGCTGCATAGTGACTGCTGGTGACCCGAGGAGAACCAAGAATTCTTGCTGTAATTATGACGCTCTTTAATGTACCATAGCTAATTTTCTGAGAACTGTTTGTATCTAAGGGGTTGAAATAAATTTGGGTCTCATGTAAATATCCTTAAATTAGGAAACACTCAAAATGATCAATGCTTCTTTTCTAAGTATCTTCCATGATAAACACGCTATTTTTCATAAAAAGCAATCGTCCCTAATCCTCAAATAGTGGCTTCTCCGCCACTCTTTTATGAAAGAGTGGTGATCAGGGAATTATTAATAAATTACTAAATTAACTGTAAAATTTATTACTAACCAAATATATTATAGACCAAGAGTGGTGGGTGGCACTTAAGTTTTTTATACTGTTGGATTTTATGGATTGATGACGTCATCTTCGTTGTACTAAAAATATATTGAGAGGATGGTGCTGGTACAGGCTCTGCAACGCTCTCTCATGTCGTGTGGTGACAGCCAGCACTCAGCTACTTGTTCTATCTCGTTTTCCTTCGATGCTTCAGTCAAAATTTGGTTGAATCACATCTAAACTGAGTCTTGTTGGATCAAAATGAGGGTTGGAGAAGGGTAGGCCAGGAGCTGTACTGTCAAGTGTCACCATCGCCATGGCAACGAGATAAATGTGGTAGAGACCAGAGTTAAGAGTTAAGAGCAACTCCGAAAGCAGTGTGAAAAGAGACTGTAAATGCCATTGGTGTTTGGGGAAGTGCATACACATAAGGGGGCGTGGGTGGTGGTATGGAGGAGTGAGGCACACTGGGAATTGGGATAGCATCAGAAAGTCTGGACATAGCCCGTGTGTGATAAAAGCCGGTGTCTTTCTTGTGCATGTGGATAGATGTGAAGCAGAGGCCAGCAAGGCAGTTCACCAGGTCTGTGGTAGGAAACAGAGAGTGAGCTGACTGCAAGAGAAGCGTGGTTTGCTAGCACTGGTTCTTATCGCTTGCTACCTGCCCCCCAAGGCAGGCCTGGGGTGGGGGCCAGCCTAGGAGATAAACAAGGACAGTCAGAAGACTGTGGGCGTGTGAGGGGTCCTGGCTATTGGCAGGACTATCTGGAATACACATGCGTCTCTGATGAAGCTCAGAGCTTCTTCCTGTGTGAGGCTAATTGGACCCCAGGAGCATTCAATGCCTGACTTAGGCCTCATTAACACAAGCCCTCTCTCCAGGTGCTGATTGCCATTCTTGCTGCTGAACTCTAAAAGAAATACTTCGTGTCTCTGTGACCACACAGACAATACAGGAACTTAATGTCTTTTCTACCCTACTTCTCTTTACTTAAAAATACGAGTAATATGGAAAAAATGCCATAGGCTATTTTTCTCTTTCTTATTATATATGTATGTATGGGCTGAGGGGTGAGAAATAAATGCTCATAGAGGTTCAACTTCAGAATTCCACTGAGGAACAGATTTCCCTTATTCACACAGTAACCAAGACTACTTGGATCCCAGCATGCAAAAACGTCAAAAATTCCAAATACATTTCTTTAAATGCTAACTTTTAATTCACATTTTTCTACACAGCAAACAATGATGTTTTCTCTATAAGACAAACATTGAGAGTGTATGTAGCAATTATTATATCTGTTGAATTGTAAAAAAAAAAAGTCAAAGTAGAAAATGAGGATTACAAAGTGATTTTGTGTCCACAGCCTTGGGCCAGGTCTTTAATTAACTGGCTGACTGCCAAAATTCTCTTTACTTTGATGACATGGCCAATAAGAAAAAATCCTAGTCAAAAGGAGATATGTTTGGAACTGGACAGGGAATTATTTTCTGAGATTAAACATTTAGTCACTGGTCTTTTGGACTGGGTGTTTCTGACTTAATTTAAATTTTTTCATATTTCAAAAGTACTTGTTTGAGCAAATTTTAACTTGGTTTAAGAGGAACCCATGAATCAAAGCTAAATATTAAAATGCCTAGAAGTTTTAAGATAGCAATATATTTATATGATCAATTGCAATCTTTATTTCAACTTTCCTGGTCACCCTCATAGGATGAGGTATTTGGTACCCAGGAGCAGGTGAGACCTGCCTGTGGAGCTTGAACTTTAGCTATGCCCAGTTTCGTGGGCAGGAGACTGTGCCACCCCCATCTTTACCCACAGAGGGAGCTGTCAAAAGGATGAGAGACACTTCCTAGATGAGTGGGGACACATTGGGGATACAAACAAGTTCCAAAGGATCTCATCCCTTAAAATATAATGAGCACCACAGGGTAGGGGGCAATGCCTTCAAGATTCAGAGAGACTGGTACAGACCTATAAACAGCAGGGTGAGAAAGAGACAAAATGGTGTCTTGTCGATTAATGAGTGAGGAGTTGCCAGGGCAGACTATCAGAGTTCGAATCCTAGTCCTACCACTTCTTCCTCGGACACACTGGCAATATTTTTGAGCTTTGTTTACTTCAGCTCCCCATCTATTAAATGAAGGTGATGAAAGCCATTGCCTTGGAACCGCTACATGGTTTAAATAGTCAATACTTGTAATGTTAGCTGATAAGATGGCACAGAGGGTAAAGACACTTGCTGTCTTACCATGGCAACCTGAGTTTAATGCCTGGAACCCACAGATAACCAATTCCACTAAGGTATCTTCTGACCTACACCACACACACACACACACACACACACTTTATTGAGTATTTGTAATGCAATGAAGATACTATGTCATTCATAGTGCTTCAAGAGGTATTTATTAAACACTAAAATAGATATAAATTGCCTCAGGAACAGAAGACAAGGTCCTGAAAGGCCTGCCCACAAATATTTGCTGTTTTCACACAGCAAAGAGATAAGAGAGTGGAGAAGTATTTCTTTGGGAAGGAAGTATACCTAGAATAGAAGGTTCTGATTTTCTTGTATTAGCCACACACACTCAGGTGCACACTCTGATTCCAGATTCTTCCATTTAGGGTACTACACAATTACAGTTGATTCAAACCTGTTGTTTTCAGGTTGTTATGGAATAGCTCACATTTGACTGTTGCTATATTATGTCTTGCCCTTGGAATCTAGGATTCACTATTTTAAGTGGAGGAAACAAAATATAAACTTCTTAACCTTCAGGTTCTGTCTGTTTTCCCTCTTTTGCTCACTCAGCACATAGTTTATTTCTTATTCATACCAGAATACTGACAAGAAGAACCACTTTCCTTGGGGATTCTTTTCTATGTGGTGACTTAGGGACCAGGATTCTACTTTTGTTGAAGTATTACCATCTTGATCTCGAGGTTCCTTAAGTTGTTCAGAAAGAGGAGAGAAGCCTTGCTGTTAAAAATAATGTATGTGTATATGTATGTAGAGTTGTGTAAGTGGCTGAATGTATGGGTGTGCTTAGGGAAGTCAGAGTACAACCATAGGTGTTCCTCTGGAGTCTTCATTGGCCTGGAGCTCACCATTAGTGGCTAGAATGGATGGCCATTGAGCCCCAGGGATCCCCTGTCTATAATGTCTACTGTTGGGATTGTAAGTACATCACCATACCTGACATTTTACATGGGTTCTAGCTATCAAATTTATCCTTTCTTTAAGCAAGTTCACTTACATACTGACTCCAAGGCAAGGTAAGAAAGAGAGGCAAGGCTTAATTTATCCTCCAAAGATGTGTGTAACCTACGAGCATGAGGTACATTTAGACTCATGGGTTCTGGAGTCAGTCCCTGGCCATCGGCAACACTTGGTCCTAAGCCACATATAGTCTTGGACTATGCCATTATCATATATTAGTTAACTTTAGCAAATGAAATAACAAATAACACAAAATGTCCTGAGTCTGTTCTCTACTAAGCTCTGTAATTGTCACCGAAATCTACTCTAACTTTGCTGGTTTTCTCATTTCTCTTGAGACTCACTAAATAGGTGGTAAAGAAATTGAAGGAATGTTGATGGAGTATAGGAAACACAGCATGAGAGAGCAGACAAATTGCTTGATGAATGATTGTGTGTTGGCCAGAAGCAGAAGAACCATGAGGAATTGGGGAGGCAAGTCCCAGTGTTGATGACCCCGTGAAGTTTCTTTCCATGCCCAGGGCTTAGCCATGAACCCACTATAATACATGGAAGACGACTCAAGAAAAATCTTCCAAAACCCTGTGCATTTGTGTCTTCCCCTATGAAATTCTGGTCTGAGATGGACAAAACAACATGCCCAGAGGGAAGAGCTTGGGGAGTGAGAGATACACCTGAATGGGCAGCTCAGGGAAGTTGCGTGAGTGAGCTCAGATCATAGAACTTTTTAAAAATATTTATTTATTTATTAAGTATACAATATTCTTTCTGTGTGTATGCCTGCAGGCTGGAAGAGGGCACCAGACATCATTACAGATGGTTGTGAGCCACCATGTGGTTGCCGGGAATTGAACTCAAGACCATTGGAAGAGCAGGCAGTGCTCTTAACCACTGAGCCATCTCTCCAAGCCAGATCATAGAACTTTTAAGTTCACTTGCAGAACTGTGAGAAGTGATGTCACTTAGGTCCAGCCAAGAGTTAGGGCTGTTTTCATACTAGCAGCAGCACGGGAGGCAGGGCATCCCACCAGATGGCTCAGTAAGCGAAGCACTTACTATGCAAACACAAAGGCCTGAATTTGGAGCCTCATAGCCACCTGGAAAGTGCTGTAACACCATCTGTAATCCCAGGGCTGGGCAGGCAGAGATGGGAGCATCTTTAGCTGTCCTAGCTGCAGCAGTGAGAAACCCTGCCTCAGAAAACAGGATGGAGGGTCATTGAGAAGAACACTGGACACTGATGTCTCCATATGCCATGGAAAACCTGTGGGGGTCAGAGGATAGCTTTGTGGGGTTCTCTCCTAATTTTATATGGGTTCTGAAGATAAAACTCAAAATGCCAGGCTTACGCAACAACTGCCTTTAACCACTTCTAAGAGCCATATACCACCCAGTGAGTCACATTCGGTCATGTGGAGATGAATGCTGGCAGAAGCAAGAGTGTTCTGCGGATTGTCACACATGAAGATATGAGGAGTCTCCACGCTCTCAGCCCAAATCTTTGATTGTGCACTGTAGGTGAATAACCACAAACTATTAGGCCACTTCTCGGCTGTCAGTGGGCAGACACTGGTCGTCGTCTCTCATAGAGTTTACATTCTTTGCACAAATATAGTATTTAAGTATCCCAAAGGAAACACCATTTATATGTTACTGACTATCAAATACCCATTATCTTGGGCCTGAAATGTTATTAAAAACTTTTCTGAAGAATTAAACAGCTCCTTCTTAGTTGACTGTAATAGCAGGCCCTTCTGTTTGGGTAACAGAAAAGTCCTTAAGGTTGGGATGATGCTTTATCTAAGCATCCAGATTCCAAGCAACGGGCCTAATGAAAACAGCCTCTAGGGCAGGGTTCGAGAGATCAGGGCGCACTGGTGACTGATAAAGCTCAGCCTGTGCCCAGTGCTAGCATGCCTCTGTCCCCTGGGCACAGCTTTCCGCTAATGTAGGATTGCTTAGCTACACCAGCTAGGCACAGATCTGGCTACCTGCAGAAGAACAAGGGATTCATAGACGCCTACAATTTGCAGCTCCACTTAGAATGAAGTGGGAACATTTCCCCCAAAGACATTCTAAGTCAATTGCTTCCTCCTTTTGGGAATGACCTTTCTAAGTTCTTTCAAGGGAAGAGTTAAGATCAAAAGGATTCTGTAGACAAACAAAACCGTAAGTGTCCCCATCCTCCTCCTTGCTCCCCTTCCCTCTTTGTGGTCTTTCTCTCATCGTGAGCACAGAGAAGAAGAAAACAGCCTGCCCTACTGCATCCTTTTTATAGCTCAGCAGAGGCCACTGGCTATTTCAGTGGAGCCTAAGAACGGATGCATTCATCACGACAGATCCAAGGGAAACTTGATGGGCGACAGCAACAAACAGCAGCTGTCGCCACATTGAGTCTGCCCAGACACAGTGCAGGCACTGTTTACTTCCCAGCAGCCCGTGAGACATCTGCACCAACCAGCACAAGTTGGATGCACCCTCCTGGTTATAGGAATATGCATTGTATGGAAAATCCTGGAAGGACATAGAGTAAATCGTGGAAGCATAACTGTATTTCAGAGACCCTGCATAACTCCAGTGGGGTGACTTCCTGATCAGAGCTGGTTCTGTCGGGGACAAGCTACAGAGTTTCTGGAGTCGCTGTTTCCTAGGTAAGAGCTTTGTTGTGTTCCAGTGGCTCCTGGGGCACCTTTCTTGACCCGGCACTACACTTCAACTCTGATTTCCTTCTTCCGGCTCCACGGCTGCTCTCTGAAGCAAAGGTACGCAATGCTGCAACCACAGCTGTATTTCTAAGTTTGTGCCCAGATTTTAAAAACCTCATAGTTTAGTTATAAAAGGCCATCAAAGTCTACAGTTCAGGTAACAAGCGCACATACTTCAGGAATGAAAAAAAGATCAGAGACATTCTTTGGAAAAGCAGGTATCTTGGATAATCATGGTGACTTCTCTCCCCTTACCTTGCTCTGATTGGTTGAGATCCAAGTCTGGGGCCCAGAGCACTGCCATTCCCAGGGGAATTCTTCCTGGCTAATGCTGGGGATATAGAAGTTGTTCTTTGAGGCACCTGGAAGAAAACCGGAATTGAGAATTAGTTCCCATAATACAATGCAGGCAGGCTACTGTCTGAGGAGTCTTCTCCTCTTGGAAGGCTGGCTAAAAGCTACAAAAGCTGCCTCCTTTAGGAAGAACTGTCTGCAATCCTTCAGTGAAACAGCTAACCCCAAAACAAAGCCAAGGGACTACCTGCTGTCAAGAGTCAAGGAGGGCTGCTCCACAGCTATTAAGGTCATTTCAGTCTCAAAACAGCAGAGGGCGCACTAATGACCTTGACTTACTGAGCTATAAAAAACTACCTTCTCTTGTTTGAACAAAGTGGTAGCTAGGGGAGATCATTGTGCAGTGAGCCCCCTTCCTTACTCCTGTGGAGCACAGTAGGTGGGGAGATCTCGGTGCAGTAGGTGAGAGATCTCTGTGCAGTGAGCGCCCCTACTCCTGTAAATGCAGTAGGTGGAAGATCTCTGTGCAGGGAGCACCCTTCCTTACTCCTGTGGACACAGTAGGTGAGAGATCTCTGTGCAGTGAGCGCCCTTACTTCTGAGAAGTGCAGTTGGTGGGAGCTGCACAGGGGACAGCGCCACACTTCACTTTAGCTCACAGCACAATGAACAAACAGATTATGAACTCCAGTGAAGAGCTAGGGCACCAGTCTAGACCTCGACAGTAAATCACATGCTGGGGAGCCTGGAGAAGCTATCTCTTTATTACTTACTTTTTAATATTTGTGTATGTGCGAATCCCGGCATGCATGGATCACGTTTGTGCTGGGTGCCCGTGGAAGCAGGGAGCAGGCATCAGATCTCCTAAAACCAGAGTTCTAGGTACTTGTGAGCCAACCAGTGTGGGTGTGGGGAAATGACCCAGGGTTCTCTCAAGAGCAGAAGTGCTCTGACCGCTGGGTGATCTCTGCAGCTCTTACCACTCTTATAACGTGAAAACACGGACTGTTATACTTCCTAAGTGAGCTACTATTGTTAAATACAGCCCCACACCTCAAACATTGTGTTTTGGTGGTTAATTAGTAAATGCTATTTATAAAACATAATTAATATTGGAAATACTAGAAGGGTCTTCAAAATGCCTGTGTGAGGATAATACGGCTGGGGAGCACAAGTATGTATTACTAGCTCAGCCGGGAAAGTGCGGAGCAGAGCTCAAAGGTGGCTTCTCTTGCAAAGCTTACAGACACCTGCTTGTGCGCTCAGGTATTATGCAAAGGGAGTCCAAGAAACACACTAATATTAGTGCAAAAGATGACTTTCAATGCAAGTGTTATCCTCTGTCTATTTTGAAAGAATGTTTTGTTATAATTCATTTGAACACAAAGTAGAATCAAGGAAGCAAAACAAAATGGTCAAATTGGTACAACACCTGTTCAGATTAAACCTTACTGTTGTTTTTCCCCCGCTTTCTTTTTGTAGATGAGAACATTTGGAGAGAAGGGCTCAATGAGGACCAAACCCTGAGTATTTCCACTGACCTAATGTTTCTCCCTGGCTTTCCGCATGTCTACCCACATGGATTTAGAGAGAGGCTCAGCCACTTCCCCTTCCAGGTTTCAAACATTGTCCGTGTTTGATTGTCAAAATGATGGCAATCCTGTTGTGATTCCCACTTCACAGGGAGATAATGATTGCTTGTAAATCATTAAAACTACTTTATTTTTATGGAAATTATGGGACATTCTAATTATCACAGCTTCATCGTATGCTGAGCTCAGGAGAAAAGACATTCATGGACCAGGAAATGTCGTTCGCATCTTAAAGACATCCAGGTTGACTGTAGACATTCTAGAATATTGCTTAGAACAAATAACAATTTAGCGATGTATAATGAAAGAAAAGAATTCAAGGTTGTTCTGTAGGGTGGGAAAGCTAGTCATTTCACTCTCAAGTACAGTTCTCTGTATTAAGGCTGGGAATAAAGTACCCTTAGCTTAGAGGGCGCATTCCTCACAGGAGCCAACTGAAATGCCCAAAGGCATTTGTATGTGTGTGTTTTCATATGTGTGTGACAGCCCTGTGTGCGTATGCCTGTGGAGCTAAGGGTCAGTGTTGGGTAGCTACCTCTGCCTGTCTCTCTGTCTCTGTCTCTGTCTGTCTCTCTCTCTCTATGTATGTGTGACAGAGTGTCTCATTGAACCTGGAGCTCACCAGTTTATCGACTTTCTGGCTATGGGTCGTCTTTTCTCCACTTCCTCAGGACTAGGGTTATAGACATATGTCACCGCGCCTGGCTTTTATGTGAGCGCTGGAGTCTTGAACTCAGGTCCAGTGCCTATATGGCAAGCACTTTACTGACCGAGTCTCCTCTCTACAGGACCCAGACCATTTCCTGAACCTTCAAAAATCTGGTTGAGTTTTGTGCTGTTAAATATAAGAATAAGTGAATTTTCTTTTGTTTCTCTGGTTTGTCTAGCTATAGGTGCAATGATCATTGAAAATATCCACTAGTCTATCTTCTAACAGGAACAATAAAGTGGCCTAGAGTGTTTGGGGTTGCGAGTTCCAGTTCTGTGTGAAGACACACACTTCACTTCCCTGTCACTCATACTGAGTCTCTGCCCCCCTCCCCCGCTCCCCCCGGGAAAGCAAAGATCAAAAATGACTGCCTAAGACTTAGCTTAGAGAAAGGGCAATGGCAGCTGTGAGGAGGGAAGGGCCTAGGCACAATCGTGGTCTCCAAACTGTGAAAGGGATGGAATAGTGGTGGGTGCTGATGGTGGTGGTGACACAGACACACCCAGCATGGAGGATGCTGATGGTGGTGGTGACACAGACACACCGCAGCACAGAGGATGCTGATAGTGGTGGTGACACAGACACACCGCAGCACGGAGGATGCTGATGGTGGTGACACAGACACACCCAGCACGGAGGACACAGATACACCGCAGCACCGACGTTACCTTTGGTGGAATATCTTCTTCCTGTCGTAACCAAGAGCTTCGGTCGAACTTCTCAATGCGAGTCGGGAGAGGAGGGTTTTCTGAGGTGGGATCTGAGTTCTGGCGTGGCATCTCAACCCTGTGAGAGGTCACATTCAGAGCCTCCTGGAACCCAGACAGGCCCTTTGTGGGTTGCTCGTGCACTGACTGGGAGACGGTCAAGGCAGGTCCCTGGGATTTTACAGCTACCAGCTGTGGGATCTAAGCAGACAGCACAAAGTCAGCATTATTAGAAGCCCATAGGTCGAAGGGACAAGAAGTTCTGCATGCAGGAGCTGAATTCGTCAGAGCTATTGACAAGGTGGTTTTCAGTTAGCAATAGCTGCACTTGGGATGAACCTCACAGGCCAAGACCCTCCCGCTAGTTAAGGCTGCACACATGCTTCTTACAGCCTCCAGAATCTTCAGTTTAGAGAACACGGAGGGCTTAATCAGGGATCCTGGCAGCAGGCTTGGTGTTTTCGCTGGAACCGCTGAGAAGTCAAGGAGTAGTGTGGTGGTAGTGACAATAATTACCTTTATTCAACATTCCTTGGACAGCAACACAAGCTGTTTTATAAGCTATCCTGTGCTCCCTCTTGTAAAGCCCTTAGCTTTGACTTTAGATACATTGTTCTGTGGAAGAGGAAATGCTCTAAACCACTTTCCTTTCCGGAGCTCACTGAGTCCACTGGGGTAGACACAACCAGTCTCCTTTCAGACTTGAGCAATCCCAGGTGGACAGAGATTAAGTAGATTTCACCGCTGAGCTGAAGGCCGGCACTCCACTCCTCAGAGCCCATGCATCTGACCTTTATAGTGTACTCTTTCCTCCTTATGTGTTTCTCCCTGCACCGTGTGTGTGTGTGTGTGTGTGTGTGTGTGTGTGTGTATGCAGGTGCACATGTATGTTTAGAGGCTGGAGGTCAACTTCAGAATGTTTATTTGGTTTATAGTCTGTCTGACTCTCCGCCTCTCTCTGTCCCTCCTTCTCCCTCTGTTTCTTGAGACAGAGTCTCTCTGTGTAGCTCAGGCTGGCCGGGAACTCAGTGCAGTCAAGTCTGGCCTTTAACAACGTACAGAAATCTACCTGCCTCTGTCTTCTGGGTGCTGGGATTAAAGGCTTGTGTCACACATGGCCGTCACTGTGTTTAAAACAAGGTTTCTCGCTGGCTTAGAATTGTCAATTTGACTAAGCCCTGGCCAACAAGCCTCAAGGGTTCTCTGCACCCACTTCTCCAGTGCTAGGTTTACAAGCATGCGCTACCATGCCTAGCTTTTTTTTTTTTTTTATGTGTGTTCTAGGGCCTGGACTTGGGTCCTTGTATGGCAAGTACTTTGTGGAATGGCTTATCTCAGGCTCTGCCTGACTGGATAACATACACCATCCCCTGATGCCAGGATGTTTCTTGAGGAGTTATTTCAATAGTTAGGCATGCAGTGCAGTGGTCCATGCAGGGATGGCTTCTGGGATTTTCATTTGGCCTCTTAAGAAGAATCACCCAAATCCAGGCCACAAGGGAGCCTTTCAACACTACGTGTGCCGCTGCATTCTGTGACTACTGAAGCCTGCCCTACCGCATCATGTACACTGCATTCTCTACTGGAGCCTGAGTCCATCTCCGGGCCTGGCCTGTAGTCCATGAACCGTGACTCGGAAGAAAAAGGGATCTAGTGTGCTCCCTAAATTAAACCGCTAATTCAAGCTGTATTGATTTCCTGTTGGTGTGCACGATGACCTGCCAAGCCCTCTTTTGTCTGCAATTCCTGCTGGAGAGTTATACTGACAAGCAAGAAAATCCTCCATGCTTGGCTCTGTTCGGCGTCAGCCGATAGACCTTGCAATGTTCATGCGGATGTAAACACCATTAAATATATTAGATAACATTAAAACAAAACACAGTAAAGTTTCTAGTACAAAACCCAAACTCAATTGAGCAGACCATTCCAAGCACCCTAAACATTGAAGCACCCGAAGAATGCTTCCATAGAAAGTCTATACTTTTCTTTCCTCGTTATTTCAGAAGGCACACTGCCCCAGAGGGCTCCCCTTTCACAGGGCAAAGGGTCCTTATAAGGTCAAAGTTGAAGGTTTTCAAAAGAAAGCAAACCCTTGTTAAATGTCCCCTTTATAAAAGTCTGCAAGAGATAATTATGTACAGATAAAAACAATCAGGGGAAGGTGTATTAAATTGGTTGGTGCTGAGACATCTTGAATTTCGTTCATTACTGCCAACTTAATACACAAAAGCATTGATTTTTTTTTATCATTATTCTTTTAAGTTCCATTTCAAACATCAGTGCATACTTCAAAGGTGACCTGAAAACACACTGGGGAAGCCTTACTGCAGCTGGGGGCTGGGAAGGAATTGAGATGTTTGTGTGAGCAAGCTGTATTACCTTTTCTCCTATGGAATTTCCACATCCTATTTCATTTGGAATTTCATCTAGGCAGAAATGGTCAGGAAGCATCTTTCCTAACAGTGAAATAATCTTTCCCTACCAAATGTCTTCACACAGTGCTTCTCAGCCTCTAAAGCGCACCAGAATCAACCCGGAAGGCCTAACCCCGAGTCCCTGGTCACCAGGGCTGAGGCAGACACAGGGGTATGTATTTTTACTGAGCTCATGGGTGCTGCAGGTTGCTGGCCTGGGGTGGGGGAGGGGGAGCATGCCTGGAGAACCACAGGCTTAGAAAGCACATGTCTATTTCACCAAGCCGATTCTAGGGCTCCCATTCAGATTTCCACCCATGTTTCAAGGAAAGGAAGAATATGTGTACAGAGTCTACCTCAGAGATCTATATATGAATTTTAATTTTCCTGCTTGTAGCTACAGAAATGCATGTCCCCACCCTGCAGCACTTGCAAGGTTCTTCACAGGAGCCACTTTACCAAGAAGTGACCTTGAAGTTGACTCAAGGTCAATCGCTCTATCTTCACACCTGTGTTCTTGAGCCTCTCAATGCAGAGAGGCTTCTGTCCCTCTGAATGCCATGCTAAGAGTCTTTACTTCCTTGGTCTGATGACATGCCAGAATCTTCTAGACTTTTAAAGCTTTGCTAGATACAAGTGTCCACCAGAAGAGAAGATACATTATACCTGGGGGTCAACAGGTCTGAGCATTGGGGGTGTCCGAGCAGGCTGAACCCCACTGATGCTGAAGGACTCCGATCTTGGGGGCAGGTTGGGGTCAGAGATCCTGTTGGCGACCTTGTGAGGCATGGCAGGCGAACTCTGTCTATTTAGTCTTGAACGTTCTTCTACCTAGAGGTCAAAGGAAAAGAAAGCCTTAATGACCAGAAGTTGGTGCATTTTTCCAGTAAGGATTTCCTGGAATCACCCACACAGGCATTTTTTTCTGTTATTTTTTTTATTAATTTTTTTAATTAAAAATTTCTGCCTCCTCCCCGCCTCCCTTTTCCCTCCCCCTCCCTCCACTCCCCACACCCCACTCCCCTCTCCCTCCCTCTCTAGTCCAAAGAGCAGTCAGGGTTCCCTGCCCTGTAGGCAGTCCAAAGTCCTCCCCGCTCCATCCAGGTCTAGGAAGGTGAGCATCCAAACAGGCTAGGCTCCCACCAAGCCAGTGCATGCAGTAGGGTCAAAACTCAGTGCCATTGTCCTTGGCTTCTCAGTAGCCCTCATTGTCCACCATATTCAGAGACTCCGGCTTTATTCCATGCATTTTCAGTCCCAGTCCAGCTGTCCTTGGTGATCTCCTAATAGATCAGCCCCACCCCACACAGGCATTTTTATGTCCCTCTGATGAATTCAAAGAGCCCAAACTTGTCATTTTTGTTTGGCAGCAAGATCTTTTCTCTTCTCCATCATTTTCTTTTCTCCTTTACTTTCTCCATCTCATGGAAGTTCTTCCGGTAAACAAAGACATGCAAGACACTTGAGCCCTTCCGTTACCCATTAGCTTGTCTTAGTTCAGCTAACTGGGCATTCACAGCCTGCTAAGAGTTTGTCTTGCATTCTTGGGTTACTATCCTACTGATTAGTCACAAAGCCATGCACCAGGCAGGGAAATGGTGTACACTGCAGATCATCAAAGGGGACCATGGTGGGCAGCAATGCTACCGCTGAAGGGAAGGCAGAAACCTGCACTGGGCTGACTCAGGAGACAGGGGCAGGAACCACGTGAGGACTGAGGGAGAGGTGCACACGGAAGCTCTGTGCTTCTCTGCATGCTGCTGATGGGCACAGGGGCGTCCTGGATGCTACTTAATGACATGCCTGTCTTACCCAGACTTCCTGTATCATTTTCTTTTCTCCTCAGGGCCCTTTCCTTTCAGTTGTCTCTCCCTGTTACCCAAAATACACTGCTCCTCCCATGCTTTCTATTCCCAGTAGGACTCTGATGCCCCACTCCCTCCGACTCCCCTCTGCTGCCCACCTTCTAGCCCTTCATCCTCTCCCCAATCCCTGCCCCTTCTCTTCCCATAACCCATTTCATTTCCTTGTCACATCCTCTTCTCCAGGGTTTTTCTCAGCCTAAGGACCTCCCAGCAGAAGCTCAGAGAACAAATGTTTCTTTTTAAGCAGATAAAAATCACTCTCAGTCAGTCCGTATTTATAGCAGCAGATCGACAGCCACAAGAATGACTTGAGAGTTAAATAAACAAGATGGACATCAACAATCAAGATGGAAGACCTTGATCAACTCCAAAGGGCCTAGACTCTTGCTCTAGGTTTATCTTATACTGTCTTATTTCTTTAGAGTCAAAATAATGTTTGTGCTTCTCAAGCATGCAGCACAACGCCACACACCATTCTCCTCACCCTGCTGGCTCATTAGAATGAGTCCTTAACTCCCTTCCGTTGACTCAATATTCAGATCTGTCTGTCTGTATGTGCCAGCTAAGGTTTAAACTTTCTTTCTTTCTTTCTTTCTTTCTTTCTTTCTTTCTTTCTTTCTTTCTTTCTTTCTTTCTTTCTTTCTTTCTTCTTCTTCTTCTTCTTCTTCTTCTTCTTCTTCTTCTTCTTCTTCTTCTTCTTCTTCTTCCTCTCTCTCTCTCTCTCTCTCTCTCTCTCTCTCTCTCTCTCTCTCTCTCCTTTTTCTCTCTTTCCCTTTTTGCCTGATTTGAAACAAAATCCAAAAATCCTACTAATTCTTGTCTTCCTTACCCTATTTTGAATCTTTCTAGAGACAGGCCTGATCTCCTATTCCTAGTAAGTCTGTTTCAGCCTCAAACATTTAAACATGCTTCATTAAGCCACAGATTAGGAAACGGCCCTCTTGCCTCTATGTGGTGTAATTTGAACATCTCTTCCCCCACTATGACTTTGTGGGATGTGTCTGATTGGCCCCCACTTGACTTTGGTTTTGAAACTTCAAGTCCTAGAAATTCACCACACACCCAATTATACTAGCCACAAAAGACCAGAGATATAAACCAGGAAATGGTTACTTTGTGAGAGCATAAAGCATTATATCAGCAATAATTACCTGGCCATGTACTGAGCAGAAGAGTAAAGCCAGCTATCATTGCAAGACCTCAAAGCCCCAAGAAGATGGCAACAGCCAAGCCAAGTACCACTTCTAAATCCCAGACTTCTTGCAAGAAAAGAAAGTGGCTATTCTTTGACCACCGCAATTCATTATCTCCTCACTCCCTAAATGTTTGTGCTCAGGAACCCTGGGGAGTAGAAACAGTTCAGAGAAATACCTGGATTTCTACACTCTGGCCACCCAAAATCCCAAACTCATGGTGCATTGTGGTATAATAATGAGCATATAACCATATGTTCAGAATCAAATATATTCAGAGTGAGGCATACTTGTAATGATTATTAGTGTTAGTTTTAGCTGTCAGATACAGGGCAAAAAGTGAGTACCGATTACACAGGGAACTTGTGTGCCTGATTAGTTGTGTAGAGAGAGAGGTTACTAAGCAACTGCTGGACATAATTTCAGTGCTTTCAATAAGTTCATGCATTAGAGTCTACCTTTGAATGTCTTAATCTGCCATAGTCCACATCATATGAAATAATAACCAGTTGTTAATTCCAAGTCAATGATGTCAACATGGGTCAATGTGCTGAATTTTATAAGGAGGCGTTTGGACAACAAAATGGTAAAGCCATGAGAAGGTTGTACTATTAGGGCATTTGATTACACACTCAAAAGATTTTTATATTTATTTCGTGTGTGTGTGTGCCACAACACTTCAGAGTTCAGAAAAGAACCTCTGGGAGTTAGTTCTCTCCTTCTACCATGTGGGTTCCAGGGACTGAGCTCAGGTTTCTAGGCTGGGAAGCCAGCATCTTTAGTTGATGAGATATCTTGCTGGCCCTGACTCTATTTTTTGTCTCTAGAAAATCTTGCCTTAAAGCACTAAGGAAGGTTGGGACACAGATGTGCTTAGCGCCAAAATTTCCCTTAACTACTGGAGGAAAGACAGCAAACCAGACATTGGAAACAGCATTTTCCAGAGAGAGAGAGAGAGAGCTGAGTGTTCTTAGACAGAGAAACCCTGTCCTGAGAAAACAAATTAAAAAAAAAAAAAAAAGCAAAGTGGCTCTTCCCCCTAGCAAAGCTAAGCAAAGCTAAACACAGCTAAGGTGGGCACAGTCCAGACCTACTTCCCTCTGCTGGAGGAGAGTAGTGGGATTTGTTCCAGCCTCCTGCCGCCAGGGAGATGGGAAATACCAGGGGTATCAGCAGGGTGCAGTATGGCTCTGTGAACAAAGTGCTTTTTGCACAAGCGTGAGGACCTAAGTTCAGTTCCCCAGAATCCCAGTATCCAGATGTGGTGTCTCTGCAGTGCACATCTGTAATCCCAGTGCTTCTGTAGCACAATGAGAGGTGGAGACTGGAGATCCCTAGACGCTCCCAAACCAACTCCCCTCTCATATACAGCAGTGACCAGCATGCATTGCAGAGAGAAGACATGATACAGCGCTAAGAGCGTTAGAAGATTATTCCATGCAATGATCATGTAAACAGAGCACCCTGCTGCACGCTGCTGCAAGTTAAAATACCGTTTGGAGTGGCAACGGGTGACTCAGACTAACCGGTGCCATTTTAGTGCACATGAGAAAGCAAAAGAAATTTCTATCATCTGAAAGATGAGAAAAATGCTCAAGTTCTGCTGATGGACAGACACTACATTATACTATCACGTCTGCAGGGCTATTCTCACTTCCTTTGAAATTAAGAAAGTGAGAGAATTTGAAAAGAGTGAGCTTGCCTCAGCAGCCTTTCAATGCAGACTTTCACATTCCTTTCTGGCTGAGATCTGAAAATCAAAGCCTCTGCAACATCCAGACCCAATAGAATACTAAATCTAAGGGAGAAGGGGTTAGCTTGACAAAAATTCCCAAAGGACAAGTAGCCCTGGCACTGGGTTACTGCATGGAGGGGGGCAGAGATAGGAGGACCACTGGGCCTTGCTAACTGCCAGCCTAGCTCTAGCTTCAGCGAGAGAGCCTGTCTTAAGGAATAACTTATATTTTCCTCTGGTGTTTACACATGCATGTATTGGTGCATGCACCTGAACTACATCACACACACACACACACACACACACACACACACACACCCCAGAGGCTGAAGCATTGCATCACATTACTGATGAAAACTTGTCGATTTGGAGTGAAGCTGGACAGAGGATTAATCTAAAAAAGGAAGGATATGGTTTTGGAGATAGATTGATGGTTATTTAGAGGCCAGATTATGTTAACTACACAAGAAGAACAAGGCTGAACATGAAATTGCCAAAGAATATCCCCACACATGTTTAGAGCTGTATTAAGTCCCAAGGAAGAACCCTGGTGGCTGGGAAGCCTGGTGTCTTGAATGATGCCATACACTGGATATGGCTCAGATTTGTGGTGACCAGAGACCCTCACATCTGAAGTGCTTGATGGCACAGTTGTGCTGTGCTGTTTGTGTGTCCAGCTGTTATTTTACTGATAGGAGCCTGGGCAGGAAGCAGGGGAGGCAGAAGGTCTACGATACTGCCTTAATAGTATCAGTAGAGATTTGCTGCCAGGAGAGCTTCTGAGAGCCCAGAAACTGTGAACTAATTATCAGTAGATAGGATGTGCCAGGGAACTTAATGATGGCAACAGACACACAGCAGAGAACAATGCAGCCAAGGCAGACAAGCTCAAATCGGAGCTTGCTAGAAGCTGATGGGAAGAGGCAGAAACCACAGCACACTCTCCTCTTTCTGGGTGTGTTCTAACACGGGGAGCTGCCTATGAAAGAAGGAATTTAAGGAGTTTTGTGAGCTGCAGTTGTCCCTTTCCTAAACGTCTGCTAGGAGTGAGGAACACTGAAAGCTGGGGTCACTGGGTCCTTGCTGTGGACTATAATGGCAGTAGCCCTGTGGAGGGCAGCACACTGGCTTACTGAACAATTACATGGGCAGGAGTTGAGGATTTTAACTCAGCAAGACTAAGAAATGGCTGAGCAGTGGAGGAAGACAGCCAGGAAGCCTATTACTTAGCAGCACACTGGTTCCACTGATGCAGAAGTGGTGTGGGTTATTAGGGAGTTCTGAAGCCTTAACTCCACTGGCAACTTAGTGGGATTTTAAATCATCATGGAAACAACTCTCTAAACATCCCTGAGAGGGATTACCTAGATCTGAGTATCTGGGATGGGAAGATCAACCCTGCACGTCGGTGGTGCCGTGCTGAGGGCTGGAGTTCCAGAATGAATGAGAAGGACACGTGATCTGAGCACAGGCATTCCACCGTCTGCTTCCTCAGTGCTAACACAAGGTGACCATCTGCCTCTTGCTCCCACTGTCTTGCCTTCTCTGCCATGATGGACTGCACCTCCTGGAGCTGTGAGCCACAGTGAACCCCTCCTTGAGCTGCCCTTGCCAGGGATTCTGTCACAGCAATGAAAGGAGGAACTAACAGCAGGGTCAGTGCTCTATCCGGGAGCAGAGGCACAAACCTGAACTATTGATCTAGGAAAGGTGTCAGCAGTTCCGCAAAGGTCACTACGGGTCATGTTATAGACTGTAACAGAAAGTGATCGAACATCCTCTTTATCCAATCAAAGTGATTTGCTGTATAGACGTAGTTCTTGAACATTTGAAAAGTTATTTCCCTGTAACAGTGAATGTCAATTAAAAAGGACACAAACAGTGTATAAAGGTGAAAATGTTACAGAAAATACTATTCTTTGATTGCCGTCTCTCATTAACCATCACGATTAGGATATTATTTCTACTATTTCCTATACCTAGTGAGATAAGATAGAAAAAGAAAAGATTAAGAAAATAAAAATAGAATTGTGGGTCTGGTTCTGGTAATTTTTTAAAAAACAGCCTAGATATAAATACCTAAAGAAGCAGCTGACAAATAAGAAACAGCCATAAGCACCTCTGTAAGTGATTAGACATGATCATAAGAACACAAGGAAGTCACTTGGGTGTCCCACTGACAGCTCTGGAGACTGATGTACCCCGTGTGGACAGTCAGTTTTGTCTGGGTTACTGATTTTTGCTTTACCAGCTTGGTTATAATCTCTTTATCTTTTTCTTCAAACCAACAGTTTTAAGTTATATTTTATAACCAGTTCATCACAGAGCCATACTCCTAAAATCCTGCCTTAGTCTGTGGGTTGAGAAAATGAAGGACTATTCCTTTGGATGTAGCCACAGGTGTGTGGCCCATTGTGCACCTCTGAGACCACAATGAACAAGGCAGGGTGGGCAGCACCACCAATGTCTCAGAACAGCTGTCGGCTGCGGGCGGGACATGACCCTTCCGACTCCTGCAAGATATTCCCCCCCCCCATTAACCGTCCTCATGCTGCGTAGCCAACGGGATCCCCTGCGTGAGCGTGGTGTGAGGAGGGTGTGCACGTGTGAGTGTCTGTGTGTGTGTGTGTGTGTGTGTGTGCGCGCGCATGCACGTGTGTGGAAGCCAACGGCCAGTCTTGGTTATGACTCCCCAGGTGCCTGCCATTGCCTTGCTTTAGTCTCTCAGTGGGTGCCAGCATCAGGACAGGCTGGAATTGGGCCCCAGACATCCTCCTGACTCCACCTCCTCATTTCCGGGATTATAGGCATTCTCCACCATGCCTGACCTTTTCTGTGGATACCAGAGGTTGCACTCAAGTCCTTGTGCTTATGAGGCGAGCACTTTACCATGTCCCTAGGGCCTCTAAATAGACTTGTACAAGGAAAACTAATTTTTGTTGCTTTTTCCCTACAAAAACCCACTTTACTCGAGAAGGTGCACAGGAAAAAAACGAAGAGCAGCACCAGGCACATCAGCATTCCTCTGCAGTGACATCATGACCCCCACAGAAGTGAGGTGTGCCTCTTATGATGGGTGTCTTCCAACTGTACAATGGGATTCTGGGCTCCCGTTGGATGAGCTCCCAGTGGCGAACTGGAGCAACGGACACAGCAACTCTCTTACCTCTTTGGCCCAGGCTGGCTTCTCACTGGGACTCATGCCCTCCTTGTAATGGTACAGCGGCTTCTTCTCCAGGGGCCTCTGCTCCTGCCTCTGATGCTGGAGGGACACCAGATAGTCCCGCTCTTGCTTTAGCTGCCTCTGAAGTCTTTCCGCTTGCCTCTGCTCTTCCAGCTGTTTGCGCTTGTATTCCTACCCAGAGCAGGAAGAGCAAAGAGAGCACGTGACCACATGGAACCACATCGCCACGCTGAGCATCAGCAAAGCATGCAGTGGAGACAAGGGGAAACGGGAGAGAAACAGAATTCCAAGAAGGATACAAAGTACCCGCAGATAACCCAGGCCTCGTGTTAGTGTCCACACAGAATATGTCAATACAAACATGACGTATGGCATGCCGGGTTGCCTACAGAGCACCACTCGGAAAGTGACATGTCCCTGGAGAATTTCAACAGGGATGCAGGGTAGTCAGACTGTCATCCCTAGAAAGAGTCATTCACTGCCTGATTTGGTAATTCAGTCATTGACAGATATATGGTAGAGTATACAACCAAATAAACAACCAAATAACCAAATAATCAAACAGCCAAATAAATAACCAGACTTCGCTATCCATTAAATAAAACCTGTACTAACTCAAGCTATTTGTAACTTTATGTTTCAAGTTAAAAAGATGGCATAATGCCACTGAAAAAACAAAAAGGGTACACCAAGAAGCCCATGTGGAGAGCCGTGTAGCAGCAATAGTAGAAGGTCTTCCAGTGGACGCGGCATGAGCAGGAAACAAACTGTTCCCATTGTAAGGGCAGGGCTAACAGCCTGCGAAGGACACATGACTGCAGGGCTGAGCAGGCCCCGTGGCCGAGGTCCATTTGCTGTGATTGTATGCCTGCGTGCTGCAAACGGCTTTCAAAATTACATGGCAATAAACTCGGTGGGTCTTGAATGTAGTCTGAACTTATAATAAGGCTGGATTCATGCTAAAGTTTCACAAGTGGAGGGAGTTAATAAAGCGTGCTAAAGTGTTGAGGACTTAGCAAACTGGGTCAGGAAATTGTATGAGGCCTCTGTAAGATTCCGGGGTCTAGGAGGTTGATTTTTAATCGGCATGTTAGGAGGAGGAAACACAAAGACACATATATACGCAGACACGCACACACTCATATACGCACGCGAGCATGCACGCACTCAGGGTGAACACCAGGCAGGTCTGCTGGTGTGTGACTTTCCCATTACCAGAAGTAGAGCTTGTTCATGCAGGAGCTGCTGCTGTAAGATCTCTAACTGTCTTTGCTCCTCCTCTAACTGTCGCCTGATGTACTCCTGGAGAGGCAGGCAGCAGAGAGTGGGGCAGAACGGAAAGAGGAAAAGAGAGAGAAAGAACCAGTAATTGCATAGGTAACAGGAGCAATGCAGTGAGATGCAGGAGAAGGGAGGGGGAAGCGTACCCGGCACCTCACCGCACAGGAAGAGGAGGCCACAGCAAAGCAAGCCTTCAGTGCAGTCCAGCAGCAGCTGACTGAGAGGGCTCGGCATTTCCCTGTCTCTCTTCGGTTTTAATGAAACTAGCTTTATGTTAAAGCTCGTTAGTAGGCACCTTTCTTACAGACTCCTTGGAATTAACAATGCTATAAAGTTCTGAGGCTCTGTGCCAGCAGCAGGCACAGAACACAAGAGCAAAGTTAGTGTGCTCAGTCTGTACAACAGATCCATCCCATAGCTCGCTGGCTCAGACTGTGATTTTATCCATTAGAGAAGCCACTACCAGGAGTTGAAGAGCAGAAATAAGCCGAGTCGCATGGTTCATCTTCAATGATGGTAGAGTGGACTTGGTTCCATGCTGGGAAGTCAGAAGTTCTAGGGATGTCAGGGGAGGCCCTGACTTAGGTAGGAAGCATGGACACTGTCAAGCTATGCATTTGTCTGTTTGAACAGGTAAAAACTATTGTTTGAGAAAAAGCAAAATCATAGTAGAACAGCCCTTGTAGACTAAGTTCTATGCCCCAGAGAGCTCCCTGGTGCTGCAGTTCCCAGGGGGCACGTTGTGGGTGGGCTTCCCACCTTCCAGTACCTGCTCATGCTCGGCGCGCCTCCTCTCCTCCTCCCTGCGCATCTGCTCTTCATAGTGTCGGCGCTGTTCCCGCTCCTGCTGCTTCCGGAGCTCCTTTTCTCGCCTCTGTTGCTGTGGGTGACAAGCAGACACCATGTTAGTGGTGGGTACTCGTGAGATTGGCATGAGATCTGCCCCAACAGACATGAGCTCCCAAGGACAGATGCCCATGTGCTCCAAGGCTTTTCTTCTCGGGCCACTGGAAGACACATGGACAAGGAGGGGTGATATCAAGAGATTTGGAGTTGTGTAGACCATGTTGTAATTTGCCAGGAATGTGGACTCTCCCCAAGACATATTCTTTCTGTGGCCATTTGGGACTGCCAAAACAGGCTATAAAAGACCAGCCATCTTCGATCTGTCAGACTCTAGAAACCCACTGCATTACATCAATCAATCATTTCACTATCAGACCATACAAAGATTTCAGAGATACAAGGCTCAAATAAATGGAGTGGATATTCAAGGCCACATACGGAGTCTACTGAACTCCCAGACTCCCACCTAGACCACATCCCTGTGGCTCATACTGGGCTGCTTCTGTTTGCTGGAGGATTCATTAGTAAATGCAGACATCACCTCCTTGCTCAGGTAAGACCCCATGCTAAGGGGACACCAACATGACCTCATGTCATCCTCATCTCTTACGACTGCCCTACCCAAGAGCAAATAGTACAATCCACACGGTAAGGGTCTATCTTGTTGAATCTTCAAAATGTCTTTTGAGGTAGGTGTTCTTATCACCAGTTTACATGCAAATACTGTGGCAAGGGAAGAGTGAGTTGTTCAATGTCATGTTACTGTTTAAGGTTTGTCCCAGGAAGTAGCAGAACTTGACTTCAACGCCAGTCATATGCTCCAGGACCTATGCTCAACTATTTTGTAGATGGAGAGACAGAAAGTGTGGGAGACAACCCCCAAATTAACATGACTCATTCTACTTTCAGAAAAGGGGAGGATTTGGGAGAGCTGAGAGCTAAGCTTAGGGGCTGGTGCTTCTGAGGTAGGGATGATGTCATTCCCCACCTCCAGAACACTAGAAACTGTAAGGGCGTGGGAATGGCTTTGGTGACTGTCCTAATAACGGGAGCCGCATGGCTGGTATTTAGCATGAGGGACAGCATCACATGTAAAACAATGTGCTCTCCAGTACTCCTGGTAGCATCAGGATCAGCTGTGGGCCTTTGTGTCAGACTCAGTACTAGCTTGGGTTTCTTTTTCCTCAATTAGGAAGTTCTAAGGAAACAGACCAGGTACCACTAACTCCCTGCGATGTTCCCACAGCATTTCATCGCATGGCAAGGAGGGATGAGATGTTCCAGAGGGAACAGCCTCCATTCTATTGACAAGTCAGTTCTGCAAAACCAGGGGAAAGCCATTCCTCCGTAGCTGTCTGCCGAAGGTCCTCATAGTGCCAAGAAACCTGGGGGAAAGCCTTGCTGCAGTAGTTTTAGCTACGATCTTCCAGTGTATCAGGGTATACTGTGTATCAGTGGCCTCAGAATCTTAGGACAGAAGCTGCCTTAGGAGACTCAGTATCTGTCATTTCTTAACTTGAAAACACATGTCCATCTTGGACTGTGTGTGATGAGGAGCCCCCCGGAGGCCTTTGTGTAGCCAAGTGATGCAGCAGGGCTTGCACTCTGCAAAGGTCCCCAACAACTCTTAGACACTAACAAAGCAGGGTGAGGCCTTCCTGCAGGTCTAGGCGTGAGTCAACAGAGCACCAATGATGTGACAAAGGCAGGCTGGGTACCACTGTGCCTCCTTACTACCAAGGAAGGAGGAGTTGCACAAAGGAAGAAAGATTCCAGCTTTTTGTTCACTCTTAAATGACTTAGGAATTGTCAGCAGGCCAAGGTGAAACAGAGAGGGTCTTGAACCGGAGAGGGGATAGAGCTCTGGGCTATGGAGCATCCCATACAGTGTAACAAAGAGGAGAAGGAAAAACAGGGGTGTGTTGTTTCCAGACAAGCAATTATTCACTTCACAGAGAAAATAATTCAGAGGAACACAAGAGGTAAACTTTGTCCTAGGAGCTGAGTGAATAATTTCAATGGCAGCCCCAGAGCAGAGGTATTTCCAACACTCGACTGATGTGAATTACACCAGCCCTGATATTAAGATAACGAGGTGCACTGATCAGTCTTCTGGCAGCAAATAGCCCTCATTCAGCTAATGTTTCAAGTTAGTTACTCTTATTGGTTTCTTTCTTGAGGAAAAAAAATAACCAAGTCTTTGGAAGATTTAGCTGAATTTTATGTAGAAGATTTGTCCGTTTTCGGTCTGTCTGCCAGGAATCAATACTGTTTTGTAATTACATGCCACTCGGGTTCCCATGCAACGGTACACACAGTATTGGCTGCACCCAAAAAAGGTAGGGCTTCCTAAGTATTCTGCAGCTTCTGAGAAAGACACTCAAAAGTGGCTAATAATTAATAATGATCTCACTCAGATCAGCCACTGGTCACACACAGAGGCACCTGCCAGGGCTTCGGTTCCTGCTGTGAAGCTAGAAAAATAAATTACATCCCCTACATGCCAGAGAAAACTTCTGGCTTCAAGGAGACCCTTACAAAGCCTTTGGGGGCTCTCTCTAAGAGCAGCTCTTAGAAGACAAGGCCAATGCTCAGTTCCTGCTCCATTCCAACCTCTCACATGGGCCCTGACATGTAAAGACGTGTTGTACTAGACACCAGACCTGTTGTTGTGTGCTGGAATCCTAGCTAGTAGTTGAAAGGTTGAGGCAGACAGAATGCCTTGAGTTTAAGGTCAGGGCCAGGGCTGAATAATGAGACCCAGTCTCAAAGAAAAGGTCTTTGGAACTCAACAGAGTAAAATCCTTTGGGGGAAAGGAAGACACTAACACATCATCCTCCTGAAGCATTTTGGTATTTTCTTCTTATCAGTACTACTGACATGTATTACATCACACTTCATATTACTTTTTGTAATTTTGATTAATTTTGTGATCTATATTGAAAGCTATTAGGTGATTCTATTTCAGGTTTTATCGTTTAAAAGGGGTTTATTTACTTAATTTTTATTCATGTACATATCTGAGCCTGAATGAGTTTATATGTACCACACACATGCAGTGCCCTAAGAGGTCAGAAGAGGGTGTTGGATCTCCCTGGAACTGAGGTTACAGGCTGCTGCTAGCCACCCAGTATGGATCCTAGGGATTGGACCATGGCTCTTTGCAATATCACAGAACCCCTTTACCTGCTGAGCCATCTTCCCAGCCCTCCAGCTTCTGCCTTGGCTGCTTCTCACACACATTGTGGCATTACCTATATTTGCTGTACTGATGACCAAAGGGCCTAGGAGTTATCATTTATACCTTCTTGGAGGTATTGCCAAAAGTTGAATTTCTTAAAATTAGAAATCCAGTTGGTTCTTAAGAGAGTTTTAATGTTCTTTTTTTCTGGTTGAGGAGTGAATGCTAGCAACCGCCGTGCATGGCCTCCAGGTTAATACAACCATTGCCGTATTATTTTGGTGTAGGTGTGGCCCCGATGGCATATTTTGTTTTCTGTGGCCATGCACCACGGAAGTGTTACTTTTTGCCTCAGAGAGACAAAATACCTGATACAAGTGACTTGAGGAAGGAAAGGCTTGTCTTGGCTCACGGTGAAGGTACAGCTCATCATGGTGAGGGAGGCATGGAATTAAAAAGTTGAGCCGGCTGGTCCCACTGAGTCAGGAAGCGAAGACGAAAGCAATGCTCAGCTTGTCTTCTCCTTCCTTCTTATTAATCTAGTCTGGACCCTCAGTTCAGCAGATGGGTCACCATCCTTAGCTAAACCTGTCTGGAGACATCCTTGGACATGCCTGGAGGTGACGTGAAACCCAGTCAAGCTGACAAGGAAGTTAGCCATCACGGGATGTTCAAGTCCTCCTCCTGCTGGTCCATTTAGGACGTTCCTAGGTGGATACTGTTTTCTGATCCTCGGCCTGCTGGTCCATTTAGAATGTTCCTAAGTAGATGCTGTTTTCAAGTAAGCTGGGTAGTCAATTTCAGTGAAGAAAGTATCAAAGCTGCCAGTCTTTGTATTTCTTCCAGAGGCTGTCACCACCACCCTCAAACGGACTTCCCACAGGTGTGGGTATACATAGTCATTCCTGGGTATGTCTATTACAGAACATACTCTCTCCTCTCTCATGGGTAGCAGGATCTTTGTTGCGTTTCTTAGGTGCTAGGATGCTCAGAGCCACACGGATGGCCACATCTGCCAGCTGTGCTCACTGAGTATTGTGAGGTAAATACTCGATGAACCAGCCAGGGTTTTGCTTCCAACTCTCCTTTCTCTTCAAGCTCATGTTCCTCTTTAGTTTATTTTCTTATGTGTTATATTTTCTATGTCAACCACTATAAGCTACATTGGGTTCTCTTTTTAGAATGAAGAAAAGTAATAGAGAAAGATAACAAATATTAGGCAACAAGCAGGCCTTGATTTTATGTACATCTTTTCAACATGCCAAATTTCCCATTATATGAGCCCAGGGAAACATCTACATTTGAGAATGTTTCCTAACTGTAATGTTAATGTAGTGGGGTAGAGAGGAGAAATATAGCTTGGAGAAGGAATACCGGGTCAGCCATATCTATCACCACACACAAAACTCAAGTCCAGAGGGATCAAAGACCTCAACAGAGAGCCAACCACACTGAACCTTACAGAAGAGAAAGTGGGAAGTACACTTGAACGCATTGGCATAGAAAAACACTTCCTAAATATAACCCCAGCAGCACAGATGCTGAGAGAAACAATTAGTAAATGGGACCTCCTGAAACTGAGAAGCTTCTGTAAAGCAAAGGACATGGTCAACAAGATAAAACGATAGCCTACAGATTAGGAAAAGACCTTCACCAACCCCACATCAGACAGAGGACTGATCTCCAAAATATACAAAGAACTCAAGAAATTGGTCATCAAAAAAAACAAATAATCCAGTAAAAAATAAAAATGGGATATGGACCTAAATAGAAAACTCTCAACAGAGGACTCTAAAATGGTTGAAAGACACTTAAGAAAATATTCAACATCCTAAGCCATCAGAGAAATGCA